GAATGGTTTCCTCCTGTCGTGATTTCAAAACGAATGGTTGGTCTGGATGTGTAGAGTCCAGCAGTTGGGTGTGGTCGGCACAGGATACTAGATATTCGTGAAGGAGGTAAGATGGAGATTCATTCGTAAAAATACTGAAGAGGATAGGGTCAACCAAGGATCGCTGAGGGACACCGTAAATCGACAGAAGAGAAAGATTCCGCTTCTCACCATTCACCTTCGACCAGCAAGGTAACTCCCAAACCCATTCGGATCAATACAATATCACTGCAGCTTTGTCGGATCTACGCCATGGTTAATACATTAAAGGCACGGCTGAAGTTTACGAAGGTGACGGCCACGACGTGCTTAACCCCAATCCGAGTACAGCTCACTCAGCGGCATCGTCCAGGGCGTTTTCGGTTGAGTGACCGAGGATCATGGGTACCGAGGTTGGACGACAGCTGCATGCACACAACTTTATCGTGTGTCTTTTACAAGGCAGGCAAAGCTGATGTGCCAACGAAAATGCTAGCGATTTCTCGGAAGACATATTTGTGAAGAGCAGAAGGTAGAAGATAGAAGAGCGAAGAGAATATTTATCGCATTTTATTATTGGCAGTACCCTCATTAGGTACCGCCAATGACTGTCTTTAACAGTGAGGTTCTTTCGACACAGACGTCTGCAAGTGACCTAAACCTAAAATGCGTTTCCCATAACGTTACGCAGAAGTGAAGTTCTTGGTTTTAAGTTAGCACCAAGTTGAACGACTTCGAATTTACAGACGAAAGACTCATCTGGATGTCAAACACACTCATATTGGTACCGCGTGTGAATCAGTTGAGTAGCTTCAGTTGGGTTACTTCACAGTACTAGGTTCAGTTAAGGTACCGAATTGCATTCAGAATGTAGGTTGCATAGGCATGAACGTACGTACGGCCCAAGTTTGGATTTGCCGATTTCGGTTCCAATTTGTTTTTGATTTTTGAGTGAGGGCTTAACGAAGTCTTCCATACATTTCTCCAGTTTACTTACCGCGCTATTCAACGTTCCATCATTGCGATTTTCCCGCCCAGGGGAGCGCTACTTAAATTAAGCCTGTTTTTCCAAAGATGACTTCAAGTAGTCCCATTCGAAAATATAATGGCTAGGGTCGGGCATTTCTTGCCATTGCCCCTTGAATGCTCGGTACTATTACAGATGTTAATTACAAGACCCTAGGTTCACCGGAAGTGACCTAACTAGACCTCTGAAATCGAGGATACACTTGCCACATAGAAACTCTGGGCGAAGATGCATTACTGCATGAGGAGATGTAATCACATCATTGGATTAGGCTTCTAAGACTTGAAGTGCGTATCCTAAACATTGTTGCATAAGTTGCATCACTAATAAATTCTGACAGAACGTTTAACATCCCTAGGCGAACATGGGTCAGCCAAGGTGAAAGCATTGCTGACCCCATTTCCATCTACACTCAACGTGCACGGGGTCATGAATATCTCTGCAGAGCTCAGAACAAAAGCTTGGCAAAGCTCTAAGGTCTATCCCTTTGGATAGAACCAGCTTAACAATTTAAAAGGAATAACACCGATGCGTTATTTTGTATGTCATCTAACATCACCTCCCTTCTGTTAATTATTGCCTGCAACAAAATACAGACAGCAAATTGCTTTCCAGTACCTTTCATGGCTTCTTGCCCCAGTGCAGAAAGTTAGAAATGCATAAAACACGCACGAAATCATGTCGGTGGAAATGCATCGGCCAAGGCTGACGAATTTGTGTGTATGAGAGGGGGGGGGGGGGGCGTTTCACCATCAAGGAGCCCCTTTAGGAGCCCTCCGCACCCCTCACCCGTTACCAAGACTGGATACAAGCCGCACACTGCAAAGCACCGTGTGGCAAGCATGCGATGCTGCATGGCGTGCCTTGTAAGCAATATGACAAGTTCAGCATCTACTTTTCCTGGTACATACACATGTACACGCGCAAACGCACGCATACTATACTGTATATGTACATATATATATATATATATATATATATATATATATATATTCGCTTCTCTGGACGGTATGTTCTCAATAAAGTACGCCGATGTGTAGCTTCAGTGATGAAAAAATGAGCTATGCATGGGCAAATGCATATTTTCAGCTTTTGTACGCGTGCTTGATTGCTGAAATCACACCTTTCCCTTATTCGGTAAGTCATAGATCAGTTCGCCAGTTCGCTGCGTTGAATACGCTCTGTCGCCTGCCAAGATCACATCGCGATGTAATTCACAGGTGTGTGTGTCCATCATGAGTGCATCTACACAGAACACCTCTGCTTAAATCCACTCGCGAGTGGAGTTACGCAGAATGGCGCTTCTGCGTATATCACGCCATGAGTGAATCTACACAGAACACCTTCTCTGCTTAAATCCACTCGCGAGTGGAATTACACAGAATGACGCTTCTGTGTATATCACGTCATGAGTGGATCTACACAGAACACCTTCTCTGCTTAAATCCACTCGCGAGTGGAATTACACAGAATGGCGCTTCTGTGTACATCACGTCATGAGTGCATCTACACAGAACACCTTCTCTGCTTAAATCCACTCCGGAGTGTATATACACAGAACGGCGCTCCTGTGTAAATCCACTCAGATCTGAGTCGATTTACTCCTGAAGCCACACTTGTGTAAATCTACTCACAAGTGGATTTACACAACAGTGCGTTTATGTGTAGATCAACTCAGATCTGAGTCGATTTACACAGGGGTGGCATCCTGTGTAAATCCACTTCGCAGTGGATTTAAGCAGAGGAGCTGTTCTGTGTAGATGCACTCCTGAGTTGATTTACACGCGTCCTAAAATGAAACGCGGCCCGTGTGCCACATCTATGTACCAGATCACTTCCGCTGGCGTACGTTTGTGGTAAATTTTAAAATACCACAGGTGGAGAAAACCTGCGAAGCTACCAAACTACGGAAGTTCTTTTTTACAGCACTCTATCGCAATTACTGCTGTAAATGCAAGATTGCCAAGCAGACTAAATATTTCAAATTCAGAAGTGGCATGCGTGAACGGGCAGGTGCTGCCGATATAATAGCAAAAAGCACTAAGACTAGAACGAGTTGGAGAGCCGCAAAACAAAAAAGCTAAGTTTGCTATACGTCAGAATTCTTATCAGAATCAGGGTTTTCAGGATTGATGAATTGCGAATGGTGCAATTTCCAAGCTGAATTTTCGAATCGTCTTGGTCATTTTCTGTGCACTTTGCAACAGCTGGTGCCAAAATCCATAATACCGCCACACGGCATGCACCAATTTTTTTAAACTCGTGGCACTCACCTGTTCAGATGAGGGGCTGATAAAACTGATGTAACTCTCTTCACTCTCCATAATCCATGCTGATCTAACAGTGACGCTTTGTCTATATCCGCAGTCGCTGAACATTCTTAATCTGTGCTGAATGTCGTAACCCGTGCATAGGTCCAATATTACGCAGGGAAACTGGCTGTTATTTTGCGATGCAGCCTTGTCGTTATTCATAACGAGTACTCAATCGTTGACTCCCCGCATCGAAGTTCCCCGCATAACGCCGCGATCGAAGCCACATCAGAACAGGGATGCCTCACGACCATAAGTCACATATGTACATATACATATATATATATATATATATATATATATATATATATAGTGTGTGTGTGCGTGTATGTGTGTGTGTGTGTGTGTGTGTGTGTGTGCGTGCGTGCGTGCGTGCGTGCGTGCGTGCGTGCGTGCGTGCGTGCGTGCGTGCGTGCGTGTGTGTGTGTGTGTGTGTGTGTGTGTGTGTGTATGGATACCTCGTAGATGGACTAGTTGGTTCGAGCGCCTGTCTCATTACTCGGCCAACCGTGGCAGGGTACAATCGAGTCGCTTTAGGCGCCCGCTTATTGTCCCTAACTGAGAAAGCCTGCGGCCACATTCGGCGACAGGGCTGAAGGTCAGGGTCAGTCACTGAAGGTCACGTGACGTCAGAGGTCAGGTCCGACCATACCGAAAATTGCCGTGCGAAGCTTTTGCAGCAAAATTATGCCTTGTCCTGGAATTCCACGATCGGATGGCGAGGTCAGGGCACACGCAACGCAACGCAACGCAACGCAACGTGGACGCTATTCCCAGATATCCATTAAGTCAAACGGTTTGGACTAAATCCCTTCGAAAACATCCGTGACATCCGCACATTCTTTTAGAGTCAACAAGGTTAATATCGGGTCAGCGGCCTGATTTCATCTTGTGTAGGCGCTAATAAACAACCCCACCCCACAAACCGTCCATTTTTAAAGGTCTGGACTGGGCCGAAAACAATGGTCACATTTTCTCACTGGTGGACTGAGTGAAAAGCAGAACACCGAACGATCATATACACACATACACTCACATTTCGTCGGTTCACACACGCAGCACCGTCCCAGAACGCCTTTAGAAGTTCAAACGCGGTCTACAAGGTCAGTTTTTCGTCGCTGACAAGCGAGGAGAGACGCGCTAACACGCGCCCAGACGCACATAATGAAACGCATTGCCACCTGCTGCGGGCGACGAACCGTCCCCGTGGCCGGAGACAGATATTACACAAATTATAACACACAACGGTTGACTGCTTTTAGGTGTATAACGCTCTTACGCGCCTTGGCACGACCTCCGGAACGCATGGAACTCCATGACTGCACGATAAAGGCTTGGCTGACGGATATCCATGACAGAAAGCTGTACGCCCAGCTCCGGCTCCTGCTTGGCGTCAGGCGTCTAGTCGAATGTCAGGGCCGTGCAAGCATCACAAGCAACTATTCAGAAGCAATGTTTGGTGACCAGTCCTTGCAACGGTAGCCAGAGAATGTAACGTATATAGCGAGCAAGCCCACACATTGAAAGAAACGTTCGCAGCATTTTCGCAGCCTGTTCAATGCGTTGCTCTTGGTCGGAGAATGCAGCCCCTTATTTCAATGGCACCCAAGCCGAAGGCATGTAGTCATAATGAACACTTCTCCTCCCCTATTCACTCATTTATTGTCCCAGTCACCAATTCACCAAGGCCCGGTCGATACGCACTGTTCCAAATGAGCTAGTTGAGTCTGCGTGACCATCAGATCTTGCGAGTTAACCTCCGCTAAATGCATGGAAACCTCCAGGAAACAACGTGCAAGTTAATCTAAAATATCTAAAACATTAAATAAAAGCAGACAAGAACACTGCACCTAAACTCTGCAACAGTACTTCAACAATCAACACGTTATACTGGGGAAAATACTACAACAAACCCACTATGCCTGCTGACACAACGCTAAATTCAAAGGCGTCTGCGCGTGGTTGTAATCCAATGACAATCACAACCCCAGTCCAAACTACCCTGTCCATGACAACCAAAGCGAGAGACAATCACGTCCAGTCCAACTGTTTCGCGCAGACCAGCTTGTGTGAAGTACAGACCTGTTGGTTGGACGGACGCTACCTAGATATGCTAGTTGGACGGATCCGGAGGTGACCTCTAGGCACAATAAACAGCCCAGGAGAGGTGGAGGTCCATCGCCGAGCCGTTTCCGCTGGGGTGCTCTGGAACTTGACGCCGCGTGCGCCGGAGCGAAGCGCGGGTAACACGACAGCGGCCTCCTGCCCGGGACCGTGACCCTGAGCCGACCTGGAGTCATCTGCTCGCGACTCGGGCGACGACGGTGTTGCGCGCGGAGCACAAACACGGCGCGATCGACAGGCGCCCTCCCTGCGCCGGCCGCACCGGCGTCAACACGACTGTTTGCGTAACGGCGTCGCACACCTGAGACAGCTCAACAGCATGGGTATGCATCAGGAAAACGTAACGGCTCATTATGGCAGTTTGTAAGAGCATGGGCAACGGGCGGATAGACACTGGCGGCGCCACGGAACTGCACATCAAACGAGAACAGCCTGGGGCGATGCTACGCCCTCTGGCGACGCTAGGACGGTACACCGCGCCTCCACAAAGGCAATATCTGCATTGGTGACGATAGCAGGGGTCAACGCCCGCGCGCCAGACTTCAGCAGCGGTACCCAATCCACATAATGCAAGACCCCTACACCGCCGCGATTACTACGGATATACGCCTGGTACTGACGTGCCCTTTCCAGCTAGACAAGTCAAATCAGTAGAATCGTATCCTCGGCAACAAGTCGGCAACGACAAACCCTGCATTAGAGACAAGCGACCAACGTCCGTGGTAAGGCATACTTAACGCAATGTAAAACCCCTGCATCGGTGTAATGACCGTGTACGTTGCAGCTAGATAACCTATCAGTAAAATCGTAAACTGGGTAACAACCAGCAGGAGACAAGACCTGCGTTACAATCGACCAACGTCTCATAGCAACCCATAATTCATACAACAAAGTGAGCCTCCTGCGCCGTGGTAATAACATACACTGCAGATATGTAGGCCATATCAGAAAAATAATAATCTCTGTAACAACCAGCACCAGGGACATAGTTTCACAACATATTAGGAGGGAGGGGCCGAACAATGAAAAATGATCCAACCCATCCCCAAAATATGCCAACAAACAGGTTTCTCCCCGGATTTAGCCCATTTTCTTTCCAAAGCTGGGAGGGGGGCTAGAGCCCACGTTGGGGGAGGGGGTTCAGCCCCCAACTGAAAAGGAAGCCACGTCCCCTAACCACCAGGATACAACACCTGTGTTAGATACAAGCAACCAACGTCCCGCACACGGACATAATCCATACCATGTAAAATCCCTGCATCGTTGAAATGAACGGGTACTTTGCAGCAAGATCAGCAAAATCCGAGGATTCGCAACCTCGCAGTGGAAGTGGACGAGCTGAAGAGCGCGATGGCTATGAATGACGAGTTAATATGTAAAATGTGGCTGGAAGCGCACGGGCGTAAAAATCGTTATGCGTCAGAACTATCGGTCACACTTAAAACTGAGATATCTGAACGATTTGAAGGCGGAATGCCTCCAGAAACTGGCGGCTTCTGGAGAGACAAGGCATCGGTTGGAAATGCGCCGGACTATCTGGGATGGACCGGCCTGGGAAGCTCATTTACGGTAGGAGTGTGATTTAACGCGGGGCTTGGAGGGCCCCATCAGCACTACGGCCGTGACGGCGTACACATCATCGGCGGGGGGACCCCTTAGCGACGCTTCTTCCCACCGCCTTCCTTCGCCGCGGCAGCAGCCTTCTCCTTGCCTGAAACGACAAAGGAGTTTCTTTACCGATAGACAGCGTGCAGTTGTTTGAAGGGCGAAGCGCCAATAAAGTCAGATCCGCACGGTGTCTGCACTTCACGGATCTACAGATCGTCTAAGCTGTTAATAGATTTGCTGTCGTTTCTAAGCGACGCACAGACCTCCCGAATTCTATATGACTTCACGCTGCACTTCCCGACGAAGAAATGCAGACTAAAACCAGCTGTCACCGTGTTTTTCCAACGCGGCCCATTAGCGCAATAAAACATCAACAATTCAACGAGCCTGGCTACAGTCGGCATGCGTCTGAATGGACCGGGGTGCAAGCCACTTAGGCAAAACACTGTATATGACGCTGTAGAAGACTAAACGGTATCGCAAAACTCCACAAAACACGTGCGGTATGTCAGTCAAATTCAGCCCAGTTCCCGCGCGTCACCAATGCGCTTTCTCTCGATTATGGCAACATCTCTGAACGACATGCACCGCCGATCCCCCTCGACGTCATGCTCGCTGCAGGCTCGACCCCGCCGGGTCGCGGGGCAGAGCCCGACCCCGCCGGACCGCGGGGCAGAGCCCGACCCCGCCGGATCGCGGGGCAGAGCCCAAACCCCGCCGGGCCGCGGGGCAGAGCCCAGACCCCGCCGGGCCGCGGGGCAGAGCCCAAACCCCGCCGGACCGCGGGACAGAGCCCGACCCCGCCGGCCGCGGGGCAGGGGTAGAGCCCGACCCCGCTCGGCTGCAGGCCTGACCCTGAACCAGTCATCCGCGGCGGCAGGCCACGCGCAGGACTTTGCTCGCCCATCCCGGCGGCCGGGCCAATCACGTAAACACGGTCTGAATGCTGACCACACAGGGCCTGCCGGTGCCTCATTGACAGGGCGTCACCGGTGGTCCCGATCCCTCACTGAATGTCCCAGCGCCCTCGCCGGAGAGGCCCAGGTCGCTGCGAGCGTGCAGAGAGGTGCAGTGGAGGTCCAAAAGGCTCGCCCAACAACTCCCGGGCCTCGATCAACCTGCGCACGTCCCGGGGCCGGCAGCAGGACCGGCCGCCCCTCGGCGTCCGGTCGTGTGAGTCACTGGCTACCCCACAGTCGGTCCAGGGGGTCACAGGCCACCCCATACCGTCCGTCCAGGGAGTCACCCGCCGCCCCACAGCGTCCGTCCAGAGATTCGCCGGCCGCCCCAACCGCGTCGCCTCACCCCAGACAACCGCATCCATCCGCTTGCCGAGCGCGAAGAGACCGAGCGCCACCAGCAGGTTGCCGGCCATGAAGAGGAAGCGCAACGGCCAGCTGAGCACCCTGAGCACGCCGTACACCCAGATCTCGGCTACCAGCGCCAGGTACATGGTCCTACGGCGGGCGGCGGAGTGTGAGCGAGGCCCGGACGGACGGCCGCGGCTCGTTACATGGGGGCCGAGTTCGGACCGGCCGCGAGCGCGGGCGACGCCATATCCGTCAGCGAGCACTGAGGGGAGGCACGGGGATTTGCAGCGAATCGCACCAAATTCAATCACCACTGACGGAAGGAATCAGGCAAAACCACGTGGTAATAAAACAAGTCAGTAGAGCTCCTAGTTAACTCCTGTGAGCCTCTCTCGAACAGCCGATACACCCTCGCGATAGTGTAGAGTGACCAGCCGTGTCCCCAACGCAGCCCAGCTGCAACATAATGGTCACACATCTCATCTAGCATTCCGACACGGTCCGGAGAGGAGGCCCACCAGCAGCCGCGAGAGAACGCCGCCACTGACCAGGCCAGGTAGGTGACGAGGAAGGTGGCCAGCAGCGCCACCGAGACCCAGTTGCTGGCATAGTGGTGGCGCACCGTCAGCACCTCCAGCAGGCCCAATAGCAGTGGCATGGTGTGCACGCCGTGGTTCAGCCACCACGGGTAGAACAGGTCCATCACCTCGGGGAACACCAGGTCGCGGTGGATGGCGTACAGGCCCCAGAACATCAGGCACACCACCTGCCGGGGCGGGGAGGGTGGAGGCTCAGGCAGACTCACTCCCACGGCGGTCGCGCGGCTGCTGAGAATGACACGCACCTCGCGGCCGGCGCGCAGCTGCAGTGCCTCCGTAGCTGCACTGTGCAGCGTGCAGGCACCTGACGCCACTGACCAATGTCACACGAGCTCGGCCTTAGCCACGGCGAAGAAGATGGTCGCTCGCGCGCTCCTCAGCGGCGCGCACCGCCACCTCCGCGCGCACCCTGACGACGCCGCTCTCGTGAGGGGAGGAGCACGTTCCCGGGGGCGTTCGCCACCCACCAAGGCCACGGGCAGCGCCAGCGCCGTGAAGAAGAGGTCGCGCAGCCGCTGCAGCCGCGTGCCGTCACGCCGCACGAACGTGCTGCTGCCGAGCAGGTCGTTCACCGCCGCGATCACGTAGTAGATCAGCTGCACGGTCTGTGTCAGGTACGAAAAACGGGCGGGTTGGACGACTGACAAACTCTGATAAGGTGACACATACATAGATGTGGTAATAGCTTGGAAACCATATATGTGTTTATATATATATATATATATATATATATATATATATATATATATATATATATATATATATATATATATATATGCCATTTAACATGCAAATATGTGCCAGCTGAAACATCAAATACTTACCAGTCCCCACACTGTGAGAAACTTCCACCTGCCACCCCATTGTGGTCTTGAATTGAAGAGTTCTTTAACCAATGGATTGTCTTGGTGGGGACCAGCATTTTCCAGCACATAGTATATATCATAGTAGGTGCATGCTCCAAACACAGCCACACCCACCAGATGTAAAAGCAGAGACATGAACAACCTGGGAACACAGCAGGCAAAAACTTGTGACAGAGAGCATCAGATGAGTTGGTTCATTGCTGCTCCTAGGGGACAACCCTTATGTAGATGAAGTTATCAGGGCACACTTCATCATGGGGGATTTGGCAGTGTTACACCTTGCTGGGTTCTCAGCCTTACCATGCATCTTTGCTAGCATGATGATATTCCCGCTTGGGACATGACTGAGGCAAGGTCATAAAGAATGCTGACATTGTAGATAGCACCTATGTGCTTCCAAACACTTTGGGCACCAGAAGCTAGACTAAGAGAACAAATAGTAAAACAAAGCATGGACTGGAAGCTATCAGGGTCCTTTGAGGACTAACATTTAGTATTGCAGTGCCATGTCTCATTTTCATAACAGGAGGGGTTTATCACGTGCTAATTTGACTCCTTTGAACCTGTTTGACCAGTAAAGGTCACTTTTGTCACTTTTCACAGAAATGCCTATATGACATGGTTTAACAACATATTACAAATGGCTATTTGTAGTTTGCTTAGTTTTCAAGACTGTAGGGGGAGGGGCTCTCAAGTCCCTCAGACCCTCACAGAGCAAAAGTGAACAAAGCTCCTGTATGAAAGAGTCAGAAAGCTTAACATACTGACAAAATGTATAGAAACATTTTTCACTTGTCTTATGTAAGTTGAGAGCAAAGAAGCCAACCTAATTTATTTGCTGATATTGGTTCCAACCAGGTCAAGTGGACACTTAATGTGAAACACATTATCTCTATGAAATCATATCCCCTAGAGCTGCATGCAACATATACCAGTCTTTTCCAAAATTGAAGAAAAAGACCTGGAGAAGCAGATCTGAACAAGAAGAGGACATGAAGACCTGCAACCTAAAGAACAATGAGTAGTCTACCACAATGTGCACATGTTATCTCATTGTCAGCAGAGGTGTAATTTTGAACAGAGAGCAACCAGATCTACCAAATATATGCAGAATAAATTAAACTCCCTGGAGCTGACCCACCTTTCTCCCAAAGTTAAATGGCCTGGAGGCAGAGCCCCTAACTGGTTAGGACACACCTGACCATGTGGGCTAGACATTACCAGACCCAACTGGATTCATTACTGGATTAACTCTGCACCAATGCACCAGTGTGGAAAACACTGGAGTATAGTTTTTAAGTTTGGCGGAGGGGATAATCTGGATCAGAGGAATCTAACTAGACTTTGAAGAATAACCTGATCTAAAACAGACATTTTTAATAATAGAAACACTTGAAACCTCTCATCTGCTAGCAACAGCTAAAGACATATAATCCCATTTCATAAAAAAAAAATTGGGGGACATGTCCCCGACTCAACTCCCCAATCGCTGCACCAGCTACAACCATGCGCTGCAGATCTTGACGGGATTCCGTAACCCGTTGGGGCAAGCCATGAAATTCGGGGTGGCCTTTTCTGATGTAAGGCAGGATTTCTGAAATGGCACATGTCATGTTGTCTCTGGGTAGCCAACGGAGCCTACCTCCCGGCAGGCACTGAACGGGGGCACACACACTACCCGACCAACACACCCGCACCCCGGCGCGTCGAAACACACAGTACCGCCAAAAGGGGCTCCGGCAAGGCCGATAGGAGTAACACCGTCCGGTGATTCTCGCTCCATCCTCGCTAACGTTACCATGACGTCACTGCTGCGAGGACTTCAAGGTGTGACGGGCCCCACGGCGCCGAACGTAAAGCTGAAGGGAAGCCGGCACATCGAAATATTCGTACAGATAATATAAAAAGCCGTTAGTGGATGCTAGAACGTAAAAAACTACCACAAACATGATGATTTGCTTTGCAAACCAATGCGGCAAACCATTTAACTGCAATGGCCAAAAAAGTGAAGGCGTGGCCACGAGAATTGTTCGCAATAGGGAAACAGGAGCATTGGCCTTTTTTCTTCCGATAAAAGCACTCTGTTAGTGACAGTTGTACACGGCCAGTGGCGCAAATGCGTAAAAAATAAGCGCGACGAACGTGACAATGCAAGAGAACACGCTAAAGCGGCAAGCCATTACAATGCACTTCGATCGTACACGGCCTCTCACCCTGTGGCTTGCTGCCACGGTGGTGCGGATAAGTGGTGGGCGTGGTGAATATTGTCTGCTGCAATTAATTTTTTGATTCAGATGCGTCAAATGCCAGCCAGATGCTCTGTGTTCGGCCCGTGCCCTCTACATTCTGGCGTGCTCTGTCTGTACCCATGTGCACGGCCGGCTGTGGGGGCCGTAGTCGCAACCTGTGCGCGGGCCGACAGTACTCGGTCCCTATCCTAGCTTAATCAACGTGAGTATCGAGCCCCCATATGTTGCATTCTTGTGACGTTTATGTGCGTTGCTATG